TATTGTTTTCCGGATCGAATTTTTGTCCACATCCTCGATTATAGCACTGAAGCATTATCGAATTATTATTTTGGATTTATTTTTCGAATTCAAAAACTGGAATATGATTCTCAAATCTCAAAGTCAAAGCACCTATTGCCCAATCTGCGTTGCCATAATCCTCTGAAAAAAGTACTAGACAGTCAACAAAAAAAGTACCAACTAGGTAGAATAAAAAAGGACTAATATAGCGAATCCGCGAATAATTGATATAGTTACAGTTTTTCGTTAATTTTAAATCTTGATTAATTGAGTGACAAGAGGTGGATAATAATGATGGCCATAATTGACATTAAAATATAATGTGTCATGCGTATTAAATTACAATTTTATATGGCCAGTTGGACTAGTCTGATGAACAACATCGTGAAAACGTATTCAAACATCAAAGGCATACTAAAAGTATTTCCAAGGTTCAAAATGTACTTAAATTAGTACACAAATATCAAATCAGCAACACTGCGTATAATGACATCTTGTCATTGACAAATGATAATTTTTGTTATGAAGGTTTTTACTTTTACAATAATCAAAGTAGAATCATGAAATGAAAAGAGATCAAGAAAAAAAACGCCTCAAAGTGCTGCTTCGTTCCCTCATGTTCATAATAGAGGACATTTGCCTCCTCACTCGCAAGTGATTTTGGTGAAATTTCGTTGGATAGAATATTTTTAAATACGGAGAAACTTATGGATTGATAGGGACTTTGTGCATTTTCTTCTTCCCTTGCACCTCGAACAAGTTGGCTTTTCATCTCCATCCAGAGTTTCCTTTCTTGTGAAGAAATCCAAGCATTGTGATAAACTCAATCGGTCAGTTCTTTGTGGTATAGGAAGTGACAACTCCCAAAAAAGAACGAAGTACTTCATAGTGGATTTTAATCGACCAACGAAATTGTCTATAATCTTAGAGTTGTTAATGATAAAATATATCAGCCGGGACTCTTGCACTTTTCCCAAGTCTTTCAATTTGTCATCAATATCCGTTAAGATATTAGTTTAGGTTCCTCAGTAATTCCATTGAGGTCCTCATGTAAACCTGAAGGGTTAAGTCTAGTATTGTGACACACTATATAAATATNCGAAAATATATGCTCCTTAGATTTAAAATGTCTTTCCGTAGAACGAGGTAAATTTTTAAATCGGAGTATCCTATTTTAGATCACGTTTGGTATTCGGTTTGTACGGAAAATAAAACACAGGGCCAACAAAAAAGTTTTTCTCGTTTAATGGAGCCGGTTAACCAATCGCATTTATCGTACCAACTAATATTAAATCCTCTATTTTGTCGATTATCTGACGCTTTAGTTGAAATCAAATTTGGTTGAGGCCTTTCCAGAGTTTTAATAATGTAAAATTTATTATCATAACTAAAAAGACTCAAAATTACTTATTTGTGAGCAACCAATCGACTATATCGTCAGATTTTTAAATTTCGTCCAACTTATCCATAATAAATGAAAAAAAA